TTTTTCTGTGTAGCTTTGGAGCCTGTCCTGGAACTTGCTCTGTAGAACAGGCTGGCCTCGAATTCACAGAGATCTGCTTGCCTCCTCTGCCTCCCGAGTATTGGGCTTAAATGCGTGCACTGCTACCACCTGCCTAAAAATGAATTTTTATGATCCTTTTTTCCTTCCTTTCCTCCCTCCCTCCCTCCCTCCCTCCCTCCCTCTCTAACCCCCCCTTCCTTCCTTGAGTATATATGTGCCTGAGGCAGGGGATTCACTCCCTGATGGCTCCTTCTAGTATGTGGAAATAGAGCAGGTCATTAGGCTCAGTGGCAAGTGTCTTTATCCACTGAGCCATCTTGCTAACCCAAGAACTTCACACAAACCTATTTAAACATTAAACTAAGATGATAGTCATAACACAAAACAACAAAAGGAAAGAAAGTATGGCTGATGGTATGCTTCCTTTTGGGGTTGTGGCTGCTTAGTGATGGTGCCCAGCCTGAGATTCTGCTCATGATGGGTGCTTGCTTTTTGAACTTGACAATCACATGGGTACCCCCTGCCTGCTCTGTTCCAGTGATTGTACCTGTGTTCTGAGAAATGAGTCATGCTACACTTTGGTACATCTTGTCAATAGTCAGTAGTTCAATTATCATATTCAGCCAAATCTAGGTCCAACCAGGAAACGATTGAAACAGAAAAACAACGGCACATAAGGACATATTCATAATGGCATGACCATTGTAGCTAGATTTTCTCTAAAGAAGAAGTATTAAGAAAATAAATTTTAGCTATAAAATAAGCTATATGTTCATCAATAGAGAATAAGATAGCAGCTGTACGGAGATAGGGAGGAATGGGAATGTGTAGGGAAAATGACATATAGTAGAAGACCTGGGTACAACTTGAAGGCTGTCATTGATAGCGGTGTGCGGTAATCCAGAGTTTGCTACATTAGTGAGGGCTGCCGCTACCAGGTAGAGTGGCATGGGGGTGGAGAGTAAACCGTGAGAAATGGGCACTGGGAGGTGATTCATTCATATGTTGAATGAATCTGTAGTAAATATCTATTTTCTATATGTCTACATACTACCCTTTTCTCATTACCCACTTGTATCCAACCGTCATTCACAAATTGACTCTAGCTCCAACTTCTGGTTGAAGCTTTTCAGATAAATTCTGTACTGAGGGCTGTGTCCTCTGAATTTCTGTTCACACATATGGTCAGTTCCCAGGTGGGGGTTACCTTCCCAGGGTTGCAGCTCTGCTGCTAAGGTGAGTGCATAAAAGCCTAGATGGGGATCTTAGTTCAACTGCTCCACCTTGCAAACTGGAAACCTAAAGCCGTAGTCCCCAGCAGATGCAGGACGTGGGGAGCAGGAGGCACGTGATTACATCATGGTTCATTCCATACCTCCATACAAACATTTACAAAATAGATGATGTAATATTTTCTTAAATCTTGCTAAATGTTAATGGACTAAATATTGTTAACTGTGATTCTTACTTGCTAACTGTTGTGTTATATATTTTGCTATGTTAAGGTTAAAACCCTTCTTTTTATTTTGACAGAAAAGAGGAGATGATGGGAGATGTCATTCTGTAAATATGTTTCTTATACTGGTTAATGAATAAAGCACTGTTGGCCAATAGGAAAGGAAGATAGGAGGGACTAGGAGACAAGGAGGAAAGAGGAAGTAGTAAGGAGGAGTTAAGATAGAAAGACTGGGGAGATGAGATGCCTGCCCCATTCCCCAGTAAGATTAGAGCACGTGGAAGTACTTATATTTAACAGAAATGGGTTAAACTTAAGATAGAGCTAGCTGATAAGAAACAAGTAACTGGCCAACAGCATTATATCAAAAACAGAGTCTCAGTGTGTTAATTGTGGGACAAGACCAGCGGCGGGAGGAAAAACCATACTCCTTACATATACCACTTAAAATTGCTGCATCCACCTTTATATGTGACCTTGCTCCTTGGTATATTCAACAATAAAAATGCTGATCACGTTCACTAAACGGATTCCATGGTCATTTTATGCTGGGGTTTGAGAAGTCCAGGTCTAGAAGGTCACTTACTGATGATCACTGTGGTGTTGATATAACTATTTCTCTTACTTAAAAAAAAAAATCCACTAAAACTTCTATGTGTCTTTTGGGATTTCTTTGATCCATTGTACTGAATTAATTGTTATCTGTGGATTGCATTTGACTCAACTCATTTGAGATATTTAAATGCTTCCCGTAGTCACTAGTATCCATCCTTTCTCCTTGAATTCTGTTATCATAAAAATAAGATTTTCAAGCTGGGTGTGGAAGTACATGCCTATTTTCATCATACTTGAGAGGCTGAGGCAGGGGGATTGTGGGCTTAATGGCAGTCTTTGCTACAGAGCAATACCATGTCTCAAAACAGATGAGAAAGGAAGTAAATAAATACAAGTTAATAACAAAACAGGGAAGATTTCCTGCATTTCTAAAATTCATGTCTATAAACTCAATCTCTCCCCCTTATCTACTTTTATGACATACAAAGTGGGGATAGACCCTGGGGATGAAGCAGCTGAGGTCCACAAAGTCCCGACTTACTCCAACGCCTTTCTCTCCTCTGAGCAAACAATTGCAAATTAAGCTAATTATGATTTGTAGATCTTGGGAAGATATAGATGTGGGTAAGCACAGTCTAGAACAGCCTCCCTATGAATGGATCCATTGTCTCCAAATAGAAGGGCTCTCTGAAGGATGAGGTAGAAGCCCTTCTGGGCTGAGTTTGGTGATAGATGGCTTCCTTCTCTCTTCCCATCTTCTAGCTATGGGCTCACAGGATTGGTTTCTCAGGCCTCTGCTTTCTGAAGACCCTTCCTTCTTCCCTTGACCAGGACAGCAGCTCTTACCACTCTGGTTCCTGGAAAACCTGCCCTGTGCCCCTCACTCCCTCAGCCTGGCCTCCTTAGCCTGGCCACTGAAGCTCCTTCTCACAGTACCTTAGCGGTTGTCATCCTTCCCTTCATTAAGTGCTATAAGCTAAGACTGTGTTTTATTTATTCTTGTAGTTCACATTCGAATGTCATGCCTTGTTCAAGAAAACACATGTGGACTGCATGAATGAGCAAGTGACTGGCTGCTGAATGAAGGAGCCAGTGCAGGAAGGGCAGAAGCAGCCATCACGGAGAGCCCCAGTGCAAGGTGTGATGAAAATTGTGCCCTCCTTGTCTATCATTTTGTGCGTCTGTGACTGACATTTAATGGCTTCCCTGTAAGCGGCAGATTTTGTGACAGAACTCCAACAGTGAAGGACAGTTGTATCTAAATGCATCTTTTAAACCACATTTCAGGCAAAATCAAGAAAAATTTTGGAAGAACTAATAATTGTGCTGGGAAAGTCTTAGAGGCACTTGAACTTCAGTACACCCTGCTGGAAGTATACACTTCCTCACCGCTGAGGTTGACCTGATTTAGCTAGTCCTTCATCCCCACACCACAGCAGGATACATGTGTCTCCTTGAGTTCCTGGCTCTGTTTTAGTCATAGAACGTCTAGACTGGTGATAGTGGTGGTTACTACATGGCTTTCTTGTTTATGATCAATTCATTCCCCCCCCCCCCAACCCATTAAACACACACACACCACAAACTTGGGGAAACAAACAAACAAATTCTTCCTTAGTTTTCATCAATGAACATTCTCTACATAAACTCTGGCCATTTGAGGTGAGTGACAGAGATGATTTTCTTCTCTGTACTCTGACTCATGTATCTTTATTCCCATAACTGTTACTTGGTACAGGCCACTTGGTACAGTGGGAAGGAAAGAATAGTTTATAACTGGAAAATAGGCTCTTTCAGGAGGAGTATGCTCGAAACATCAGCAAGGTAAAATATGCAGATGCACCCAATGTGAGCAAACAAAAGCCCACGCAAGAGCTGTGTAAATATTTCATGAAGCAAAGCGTTAATCACTCTCTCTCTCCAAATCTTTCTGGTGTGTTGTAAACACTTAGTTTCTTCCAGTCATGCCATGACCCAGATTCCATGAAAAAATAAAATGAGAGCATGGACCTATGTATGGATCTTGACCAAATGTGTTGTGGAAACGGAAGGAAGAAGACACCTTTAGAAAAGGTGGCTGCTAGATGGGTGGCTACCTAAACCTTCCTTTCTCCCCACCAACTCCAGGGGTTACTCCCTCCTCCTCAGCTGCTCTCATATCATGCTAACCTTGAACTGCCTGCACGCAACCAGTGACCTCTCCTGGCAACCTTTCAGAAGCCCTTGAAGACTGATCTGCATTCCCTCCACCCCAATTTATTTTCCAGCACCAAGCCTCTCCTCTCTCCCCTTCTGTCCACTCTTTAAGGTCTTGCCTACACCTGTCTTTTCCATCTGTCTGGGAAGCAAGAAGATTTGCTGTGTACTGAATGAACATCTCAGACCTTTGCTATAATCTACCCAGAGAAGGGTTTATCACCTTTGGTCGCTACCTTGATTTGCTGTGGTTCCAAAGTTCACCTCTAGACACCGAACATGCTCAACAATGATTTCCCTTTATCAGCCTCTTTCCGATCTTCCTCTTCTCTCCCTTCCTACTTCAAGAATAAATACACTTGCAAATGTATTAATAAATACATATACATACACGAATGTAGGTTTTTGACCTTACAGGAAATAATCATAGGAAGATAATGAAAATGCTAAGCACACACAGACACACACGCCCCTCTTGGCATATTCTCTCTGTGCATGTCTTACTGATTAGGATTCCCAGGTCAGAAGCAGCAAGCCGCTTCTCTCTTTTACCTTTGGGTCAGAGCTTAAGGAAGCAATAACCTTGCAGAGAAATGCATCACCTGCAGGGTGGGCTGGGGACGTGAGCAACAGGCAAAAGAACCCAAGAACAAAATGTGGGACCCATTTCCTCCTTCACCAGCACAAGGCGCAAGGCCAGCTCCTGTCCCAAGGCTGGCCACTGGGCCAGGTGGCCGCGGGGGCGGCTCCTTTCCGGCCGCGGGTTGCTTACCTGCTCTGGCAGGCTGTCGCTGGCTGGGCCGTTGCCTGCGCAGCGCTAGGCTTCCAGTCGCACGTGTCTTCCCAGCCCTGGCTCGGCCACACCGATGCTGGTGGGCATGTCTCGGTCCGCTGCAGCCTGGAGCCAGCTCTGCGCGATCAGGAACTGAGATTACTATGCCAAGAGCTGAAGCGGCGCTGGAGCTGGGCGGAGACCGGCAGCCCGACCGCTGGGCGCCAAGCCAGCCTGGAGGTGGAGTTCACGTGCTGGCAGATCTGCGGCAGCCCTGCGCGCCCCCGTGGCCAGGCCCCAGCCTCCGAGTCTGGGCTGCTGCTCTACAACCTCCCTGTGAGCCGAGCTCCGCCCCAGCTGGCCCTCTAGGCCCTAGCGCTGGAAGCCTAGAGCCCCGGGGGAGCTCAGACGTCTGGCTGGCTGCTCTTCTGCTGTAGGGGGAAAAGTGACAGATGGAAAGTTAAGAAGGAGATTAAGGAAGAGGGCTGGGGACCCAAAGCTCCCACTCAACAGGAAGTCTGGTCCTTACCCCACCCCCCACCCCCAGCAGTTCACTATACCCACTGTTTGGGTATAGGGGATTAGGTGGCTCCGTATAAAGTCACAGGCAGTGATTTGAAAGCAAGCATTGTAAAATGGACAGTAGCTTAAGTAGTTGGAATTGTCATTGCAAAATGTACGGGTGCCTCCCTCTCATGCCTCCCTCCAAGAGTCGGGATGTCTTTGGACACAACCCCTCTGATCCGCTGGGGCAACACCAAAAAGGTAGTGTGCAGTTTAGTGGGCTGCTGTAGATGGTGTTAAATAACACCACAAGGACTATTATCGTTTGCAAAATGTGCAGCTATAGTTCTCACAACTACTTATTAAGGGGGTGTTGCCCCTTCTTGTGCATCATGTTTTGAAACTTTGCTCGAGATCGGGGTAATAAGCAGCCCAGCTGAGGTTCCAAGCCCTCAAAGAAGCGGTCTTTCAGCTGGTATTCAGGGCTTACTCAGGGCTCCTGTTGGGATGGGGACTATAGCCCCAGCCCAAGGATCTTAGTCTGGGATAGAATCCCAGGTCAGGCTGAACAGTCTCAGTCATTAGGCCAAGGGAATTTAAATATGTTTCTTTAATGTTGGTTTTAGCTACTTCCTGTAGGTGGATTAAGGCGGATTTTCAGAAGTTATATCTTAGCTCTTGAGCAAAGAAGTGGAAAGTAATTCTCAAGTCTCTCTTTGGTTGAAAGAGGGAGGGGGTGAAAAGGTTGTAGTGGCCCCAGATCACGTCTGCAATAGCTTTCTTACAAGAGTGGCTAGAGTGTGGTTTGGTCTTTCCAGCTTCCTAGCCTCTTAACCAAAGACTTGAAAGTAAGGGCTCATACTGATTTGTAAACAGAGCAAGATGGCTTTATTCAGGCGGAAGTGGCAGTTCAGTGTCCTAGAGGTCTAGACTGTCGAGATGGATAGGACAGCAGACCATATTAGGGACAGTTCTCAAAGCCTAATGTGTGTTCAACAGAAGGAAGATATGGAGTAAGGGGCATAATTTGGGTGATTCTCTATTTTGATTGATAAATAGGTTACATATTCATTTCGTCTACACAAATCTCTTCCCATAATTATTTCAATAATATACACACCCAGTTAATGTATAGGTAAAATCTCACCTGCAATATAAAGGAAGACACCTTCACAGATCCCTAAGGTCAGAATTATAGAGAGTCTTTATTCTGCTTTCCCATTGCACAGAGCAAGTTCCAAGCTTCTGTTATGTTTCGCTTATCCTTTCTTGTGCTGATGTTTCAAATGGGTTGGAAATTCCTTCAATTTAAGGAATGGGTTTTCATGAGAAAACAGAGAAATGATGTCAACAAATGAGTACTGGCAAAACATACTTCCAATGCCATGCAGAAGTTAGGACAGGAAACAAAAGATAAGTTGGACATTGAGGTAACTCTTTCTTTGGTTTATCGTGGCAGGGTTTCTCTGTGTAACAGTCCTGGCTGTCCTGAAACTTACTTTGTAGACCAGGCTGGCCTCAAACTCACTGAGATCTGCCTGCGGTTGGGATCAAAAGCTTGCACCACCACCATCCAGTGGTTAACACATCTGTCTGTCAACTATTGGTTAAGATCCATTATATTTGAAATACCAACAAAGAACACAATTGACCAAATCCCTGGAGAGTAGATTCCACAGCTGGGCAGGGTAGTACAGGCCTGCAATCCCATTAAGTAGGAAGTAAAGGCAGGAGAACCAGGAATTTGATGCCAGTCATGGCTTCATAGTGAGTTCAAGGCTGATACAGCTGGAATGGTGTCTTCAGTGACACAGAACTTCTTATGGTTCTGTCCTCCACAGCACACAAATGCAAGAGAAATGAAGCGGTTAGACTCAAACAAAACCCAAGTGTGGCAGTTTGAATGTAACTGGCCCCCACAAGCTCATAGGGAGTGACCCTATTAGGAAGTGTGGCTTTGTTGGAGTTGGGTATGACCTTGTTGGAGGAAGTGTATAATTGTGTGTGGGGAGGGCAGGCTTTGAGGTTTCCTATGCTCAGGATACCTCCCAAAGTCTCAGTTGACTTCCTGTTGCCTGCAAGATGCAGGACTGTTCAGCTACTTCTTTAGCACTATGTCTGCCTGCATACCTCCATGTTTCCTGCCATAATGGACTGAACCTCTGAAACTGTGAGCAAGCCACCCTATTAAATGTTTTAATTTATAAGAGTTGCCATGATCGTGGTGTCTCTTCACAGCAATAGAAACCCTAACTAATCACCAAGTATGATGCTGATTCCATTAGAGGAAGTTTTCAGAATAATGGTAAACCAAAACATCAGACAAAATAATAAGCATTACTGAATTTTCTTACACTCAAGACATTTATAGACAGAAGCGCATGGATGTTTCTGAGTTTGCAGAAATTTTGAAAAACTGGTTCCTAAAGGATATGGAGAGAAGAAACAAGAGTGACAGGTGATGGGTGGCTTGGCTTCTAGCTGGTGGCACTGTTTAGAAAGTGGGTTGATTCTTTAGAACACAGGTCCTTATGGGCAGGCCTTGAAGGTGACAATCTGTCCCTGTTTTCATTGATCTTTGATTTGTTCCTAACCCACCAAGATTTGTTTAGGCTGTACTCCAAGCTGCTATTATCCAAGGCCGAAATGTCCCAACTGCCTTGCCTTCTGAGCCACCTGAAACTGCATCCTCTAACCTATAAGCCAAGTCAACCTCTCCTGCCATATGCCATTGTGATCATGAATACAAGGAAAGTCACTAGTGCATGTTATACAGCTGTTTGTTGCGTGTCGGCCTTGTATGATGTAATGGCATATGTGTGTCTACTGCTATGTCTCTATATCACAAACTGCCCAACACCAAAGATCTCTGAAATTATTTTTTTCAGTGAATCATTACCATCAACTTACTAATTAGGTATCCAAATTTTGAAATATTCAAATGACCTGTACACTGCCTCACACCTATGCATTATCTTTACCATGATGAGAATTCAATGTCCAGCCCAATAACTTTCTTGATACCATGTTTCTGAAGTGAAAGTCATTAGTGATGTGCAAGGGTCACAAAACATTGAAAATATGTTAGAATTTTATACTAAAGCTCCCTTTTAAATGCCATGACTTTTATTGGGTATATTCATTATAGCTATACTGACAGGAAGTGCTGGAAATACATACAGACACACGAACACACCATGTAAACACACATTTATTACACACATAAACACGTTCACATATAACATGTAAACACACATAATGCACAATGTGCACATCCACAAATACACAGATACATAAGCAATTTATCATTGAGCAATGGTGTCAGTGTTGCTGGCCAGATAATCCATGGATATGTTTCTACCCTCTGGATCTCTCTTGTTCTGTGGGCACAATTTCTTTACCTTTTGTAACCCTATACTCTTCTTGTTACTGGGCTCTGGATAGAATTGTTGCCATGTGTATGAGATGGCTGCATCTCTTCCAAAACCATATGTCATGCCCAAGCCAAGAAGAACTAGAGAAGATACCTTCTGTTTTTTGTTCATAAAAGGAAATATTATTTTCTAGAAATAACTGTCCTACCTCCAAGTCACTTTCTGGAATTTGGTAATTAGATTGTTCATGAAGTCTGTGAAGGTACAAAGGAGTGGGCTTGTTTTGATCTCTTATTGTTTCAAAAGAAATATTCCTACCATTAATACAGAATAAAGAAGGGTGCTCACAGAAGTCAGCAGGCACACTGAAGACTCAAGTTAAAGATAGTCTAGATATTGTTTGAGTATTTTCTGGTTTCTCTCTCCTCCCTCTCTCTCTCTTCCTTCCCTCTCTCCCTCCCTCCCTTCCTTTTTCCCTTCCTTCCTTTCTTCTTTCAACAATTTGACATAAACTGGGGAAGAGGGAGACTCAGTTGAGAAATTGTCTCCAAGAAATTGGCCTGTGGGTAAAGCTGTGGGGGCATTTTCTTAGTTAATTATTATGTGGGAGATAACATCCCCAGGCAGATGGTCCTGGGTTGTATAAGAAAGCCAGCCGAGGAAATCATGAAAATCAAATCAGCTATCAGTATTTCTCTATGGTCTCTGCATCAGCTCCTGCTTCCAGGTTTCCTCCTTTAGTTCCTAGATTAGCTTCCCCCAGAGATGGACTATGACATGGAATAATAAGCCAAATAACCTACCCTTCCTTGAGCTGATGTTGGTTCATGTTTTATTAAAGTAATAGAAATAACTGAGACAGAAATTGGAATCAAAAGTAAGGTATGATTGTAATGGACCCAACAATGATTTTCATTTTAGTTGAGGTGTGTATGTGTGTCTTTGTATGTGTGTATGTGTGTGTGTGTGTGTGTGTGTGTGTGTGTGTGTATGTGTGTGTAAGAATTTTAAAGATTTTGGCAAGAACTGTTCATCGAGTGCTCAGAGCTTAATGAGTTATTGTGAGAGTTTGTAAGGTAAGAATACCGAGAGAGGTTTAGACAAAGGAGTCTAGACTTGTAAAGTTTCAGAGGAAAATTGGACAATATTTCAAAAACAATAATGGCCTATTAATGTGGTATATTAGAATTAAAAATCTCTGGAAGTGAAACCTGTGCTTCTTTGGAATAATAGATGTTGGTCAGCTGAGGATAATGAATCAGCTGTGATTTATATGAGACCTGTATCATTGAGGTGAAGTCTTCTGGAAGGTATTTCCTCAGGTCCAGCATACAGAAGCTATGTGGAGGGCTAAGGTTCACATCAAGCTGGCAGAAAAACTCGACCAATAACATGTAAGAGTGCTCCACATGGCACTGGTTTTGAAGGC